TTTTTGTGATAGCTGACATTTATATGCCACACTGACTGCTATAAGAAGGGCAGGTAGGTGGGGCAGTGGATAGAGTGTCAGGCTTGGAGTCAGGAAGACCTGAGTTCAGATCTGCTCAGATACTTACTAGCTGTGTGACCCTGGGTAAATCACTTAACCCTGTTTGCCTCAGTTTTCTCATCTGTAAAATGAGCTGGAGAAGGAAATATCAAACTGCTCCAATATCTTTGCCAAGAAATCCCAAATGGGGTCACAGAGAGTCAGACATGACTGAAAACAACTGCTATAAGGCTACAGTATTCTTATCATTCTGTATTTCAGCTTAGTTTTTCACTATGTTGGAATAGAGAATTTCCATTCTCTACTTACTTCCCCAACTAGCAGGCTTTCCTCATGGGACGCTCATGTGTCTTCCAGGATAAATGAGGTGCTGCACAGTTAACTCACACAAGAAGAGATGTTCTAATGTTTAAGATCCCTAATAGGTCTAAACTTATGGTTCTGTGTTTGCTCTCTCCCCAATTATATGGTCCTTGGAGTCAGGCACACCTGACTTTAGACACTTAGTAGCTACGTGGCACTGGGAAGTCCCTTTACCTCTACATGTTTCGGTCTCCTCAACTGGAAAATGGATAATAATGGTAGCTACCCTCCAAGGCTGTTGTAAAGATCAAATGAAATGATATTTGTAAAGTATTCAACACAGTTCCTGGCACATACTAGGTACTCATTCATGCTTGTTTCCTCCCTTCGTTTGTATTGCCAAGACTCCAAAGCTGTTCATTTCCTGTCCCTTCATTTCCACTGTTGCAGCATCTCCTGCCTAGCACCTGTCATCTCTGTTCCTAATCCCTACCACCAAGGCTGTTGATCGCCACCACTTTTTTCACTTTATTTGTTCCCTTTCCTCTCTCTGTCACTTCACAACTTTAGTACAAAAAGAATAGCCTTTTCTGGGCACCAAGTAACAGCACACTCCTTTTGTGCTATGGGCAAAGCGCACAATTCTAGGGCATCAGGTATAATATCCAGGCTTCCAATTCTCTGATTCCTTGCTGGCTTTGATGTAGAACCTGGACATCTCTAGGATACAGAAAAGGGATTGTGTGTGTTGGGACTCAGGGTGGATTTGCAGATCCACATAGTATATGGTTCAAACGTTTCTCTATTCATATCTAGGCCTCTCTGGAACAAGCATACAATAAACAAATCCAGTCTGTTGCTGGTTACTCAGGAGTTATTTTTTTTTTATTATTATCAAAGTTGCTTTCTTTTGTTATTTCCTTCTAGCTACTTTTGAATATAAAGTCATTCTGGAAGTCTAAACATTCCTGAAATATGGGCTCAAGTGGCCACAGTTTTACTGTATTAGCTTTTGTCATATCCAGTCAACATCTCCACCTGCATCTCCTCCCAAAAATGCACAGGCAAAGAAAGCCAATTTCTACAGTCTTTAGGCATAAGTCTTTGGGTTCAAGTAGAAACATAGGGGTAGACCTTCTCCTCTTCAACTTTCATTCTAAGACCAACTGTCTGATAACCATTTGAAAATCTCCCTTTATCCTCTTCTACAGCCATAGTGAGCTGGTTTCCTAGTGATTATGTACAGAAACCTGGAAGACACTACTCAGTCGTAAGTTCAGGATTTGTTGTATATATCAACAAAAAGGTATATATTTTATGTCATCTGTCACCTGCATATATTTCTGGAAAATAAACTTTGATATGCAGGCATCTACTTTGCCATTGACTAGGGCAGACAATATGGGGAAGATTCCCTAAAATAATTGTTTCATTCATTCATTTAAAAACCATTTTTAAGCACCTACCACATGCACAGCTTTATGCAAGGAACTGGGGAAGAGGAAAAAGCAAAGATAAGACATAATCCTTCCTCCCAAACCCCTCATTATGTTACTAAATTGCTTCTTACCCGTGCCATGAAGACTATAAAAAAGTTAGACAGGAAATAGACATTTAGTTAGTGACTAGTGAATTCAAACAAGAAAACTGATGTTTTAAGACTTTTTCAGTTTTATTAAATGATAATAAAAAGACATGCTTATGTAGCTATTTACAGTTAAAGAAACACTTTTATTTCAGCCACCCTGAAATAAGACACTATTACTCTCATGTTAAAAATGATGAAACTAAGTCAGAGAGAAGTTAAGTGACTCATCTCTGGTCACACAGTTATAGTAAAGTAGCAGAGCCAGAATTTGACCCAAGTCTCCTGACCCAGTCTATGGCTCATTCCACCATGTCCCTTTCTACTCTATCATACTAGTAAATATCAATCCAATGGAATTTTGCAGGGTTGACACCATTCTGCTATTTGGGGATGGGGGGGAAGGAGGAAGGGAGGAATTGAGAGCAGAGCTTGGAAAAGCCAGGAGCCAAAGGACTCTGCATTAAAACTGTTTCCAGTCCTAACATAACACCTCTTAATCATCTCATTATATGCTTGTCTTGTAGGGGCCTGGAAATCAATAAAAGAAAGTTCAAACAATATACCGTGTGAATCTACAAATCTGTCTTCCAACTCCTTTTTCTGTACCCTGTGGACTTCTCTTGCATCAAGCTCAAGACACCAGGATCCACAGAACTGTCTTTTATTCCAGATTATTTTTGCAGTGTTCTGCCAACAATCGGCACGTCTTTAAAGGAAAAAGCAAAAAGGTAGCAAAGACACATCCGCAAGGCAAAGGAAGGCAGGTGGCAAAGAGAAGGAGAGCATAAATCAAAGCCAAGTGGAAGCCTGCCAGCAACCCGGAAATCAAATTGTGTCAAAGAGAAGGTTTGTGCAGGAAAAAAATAGATTAATAGGACAATGAATGGGTGAGAGGAATGACAAGAAGTCTCAACAAGAATTAATGAGAGGTAGAGGGAGGCTTCCAGAAGTACCTTGAATGAAAAGGGCTAAGTATTGCTTTGGGCTGGACTAACATTATAACAAGTTATATTGACATTTGACTGAATAATGCAACACTATCTACCTAAATAGTCTTTTTTCTACCCCAGTCACTTGGGGGGGGAGCAGTTAAACAAAATCTAAAAGAAATGGGGTACAAGCTCTTGTATATTCAAGGGGCCTATTTCAGAGGCTGGAAAGTGTCTCCTTATTATCCAACACTTAACAGCAAATGCTCCCTAAATATATAGTGATGGTAAGCGTTACACTCAGTGGATAGGGCATTAGGCCTGGAGTCAGGAAGACCTGAGTTCAAATTTGGCCTCAGACACTTACTAGTTGTGTGACCCTGGGCAAGTCACTTAATCTCTGTTTGCTCTGATCCACTGAAGAAAGAAACGGCAAACCAGGCCAGTATCTTTTCCAAGAAAATTCCACAGACAGTATTGGTATGCTGTAATCCACAGAGTTACAAAAAGTCAGACACAACCGAACAACAACAAAGCATTTAGTGATGCTAAAAAGTGAAATCAGAGCTCAAAGAAGAGCTCGTATCACAGCCTGTTGGGTCCCAAGATGATAGAGACAGGCACTGAAACACGACTGTATGTGTATGGTCTGTGATGAACTTTTGTGTCTCTATCAGTGGTGAACATCTGCATCAACACAGGACAGGTAGTAGTGCATCTTTGATAGCAGTATAACTTGAGGATGGACTCTTGTTAACAATAAATATTCGACTATGAGTCAGAAGACCTGGGTCAAATTCTGACTTTGTCACTTACTATGACTGTGACCCAGGGCAGGTGACTTAACACAGAGAGGTTAAGTGACCTGCCCAGGCCTCCCCAGCTTCAGTTTCCTCATCTATAAAATGCAGGGATTAGTCTCAATGACCTCCAGCTCTATTATCTTATGGTACTGAAGTACTTTCAGCTGCATCACTGCAACCACATTGCTGTATCTGGATGTGCTTAGTTTAAAATGTACATAACTGTCTCTTTAAAAATTGTATCTGCATAACTATTTGATCATACCTGAACCTAGAATTTTAATCACATCATTCTTCATATTCTGTTGCACTTTATACAATAAATGATCATTAATGACTATAACAACATAACCTGAAAAAAGGAAAAACAAGAAAACTTTTTTAAATGAGAAAGAAGCAATAATGTATGGTTATCTTAAACTACATTCCAACTTTGTCCTTTCAGAAATTAAAGGGATTTTAAAATAATATCAATAAAAAATTTCTAGCTTCAGTGTGCTAAAAGTTTAAATTTCATTCACTGATGCAACCAGCCAGATATTCTTTCGTTCGTTCATTCAACAATATTAAAACCGTCTTGGGGATGATAAATCCTCTTTCGAATTTAAGCTCTTTAAGAGTAAAGACACACGCACACAACGCTCTATATCGGACAGTGACCTTGGAGACTCAAGATATTCAAAATAAATCAACGAAGATAAACTTGTACCAAGCTTCTGCAGTGTGGCCGTTACTAAGCCAGACTGACACAACCTTCTCTGGGATACATCTGTTGGCACCCACGAGGCTTTCAAACTGAGTGAATGTGCGAAAAATAAAATGTTGTTCTATTTGTGCTATATTTTCACATGTAGACGACCTTGGAGCTACCGCAGGGTGGATTTTGCGGTGGGTGAGAAGAGAACAATTTGTAGGACCAGGTGGGTGTCCATACCAGTTCCATTTACTCACTGATGATTTTTCTCTCTCAGATAAGTGCTTGGCTTGCTGGAATTGCCATCCTCAGGCAATCACTTTGTTACTCAGAAAGAAGAGGGGAGGGGTGGGAGGGAGATGCAACCAATACGCACCCCATCCCCACCAAACAATCCAAGCCAAACCAAACATCGACCACAAATCAGACAGAAACTACCAGATTTAAGATCTGGTTCCTTTTTTTTTCCCCTCTCGCTCTCCTTTAGCTGGGGGAGGAGTGGTGCCCTAGGCACAGGGAGATAGACATACACCAGGCAAATAGACTTTCTTTTGCGGTGCCCGGGGGTCTAGGGGAAGGCCGTTAGGAGCGCCCCGCCCCGCCCCGCCCCGCCCCATCTAAGCCGGGGCGGGGAGCGCGCTGGCCTTTCAGGATTCCCCAGGTGTTGCTCGAGGGCAGTCCTCCGCTCGGGTTAGGGGACGTCCCTGCCCCCTGGCACGGCTGCAGAACGGCTCTGGTCGCCTAGGTGTCAGCAGCGAGCCCAGATCGTCTACGTCCCTCTCCCGCTGCAGGGCTCTCCCGTTCAATGGCCGCCGCTATTGGCCAGCTAGCTGCTGGGGCCCGAGGGCCCAGCCGCTTCCTGCGCTGCGGGCGGGTTCTGCTCACCTCCGGCGACTGCAACCGGGGAGCGGCCGGGGCGAGGCAGCCTCAGCCCGAACAACAGCTCACCATCTGCCGGCAGCTGGATGGCATCAGGTCAGGCTCCGCGGGGCCCGCGCAGAGCCTCCCCCCAGACAGGCCCTAGCTCTCTTTGGTGTGCTGGGGACAAAGGCGGTCACTGGGAGCAGCTGCCTCTGGGCACCAGGAGTTTGTTCGTTCTCGTTTGGGTGGGGGCCTGCAGGGGCTCTTTGCCGCCTACCGCAGAAGTCTAGGCTGCAGAGTGGGCCGAGGGCCGGCTTGGGGTAAGATAGGTGGGGGAGGGGGAAAACCCAAAAAGAGGCGAGCTCTTCCAGAAAGGTTGTTGAGTCCATTTCCGGAATGGAGATGGGGCAAATGTGATAATACAGTAAAGAGATTTGCAAACCTAAAAAAAAAAAGTATATAAATGTTAGCCATTATCATTATTATTTGCCCCTACTAATACATCCTGGGGGCTGCACATTTAGGTATCTGCCCAGCTGATGTGTGTAATGGCTTTGGCAAGTACTATCTGAAGAGCTGGAAGGGACGTTTAAGGAGGCAGTTTTGACCCATTTAGGGCCTCCTGTGCAGGAGAGGCCTTGAACTTTGTTACATGCTAGAGGGATTTAAGGGAGGGCGGTTCAGTTAGTCCCAAATACGTCGAATATCTATGGTCATATTTAAAATAAAAAGAAAAGAAAACACATACCAAAAAACCAAACCAAAACAAAACCCAGACCTCACTAGTAGGTGCTTTCTGGCCCAGTTAAGCAACTATGGAAGTGCTCTCAGAGGGAGGCTTGTGACTTCTCAGGAAGTCCTTCAAAACAATGTTAACTTGAAAAAAAAAACCAATGTTAGTTGTTTCAGACAGCTTAGTACAGCACGTTCAGTAGTATCAACAGATCAATATGGGGTGTATGCCCTTTACCAAGGATACATTCCCTGTGTGGTGGTAATTAACAGGATAGAATATATACGGAATAGTACTCAGTTCTTGTCCCCTACACATCCTACCCCATAACCCTTTTTAAAAACTCTTTTCCTTTAAGAAGCTCACAAGTATACCTTTGCACCAGCCATAATAAACACATCAGTCAGTCAGTCAACAAGCATTTATTAAGAACCTACCATGTGCCAGGCATTATGCTAAGCATCGAGGATACAAAGAAAAGGGAGGGAAAGACCAGTCCCTACTCCCAAGAAGGAGCTAGGTGGTGCAGTGGATAGAACAGGCTTAGAGTCAGGAAGAGGTGAGTTCACATCTGTCCTTAGACATCCACTGTGTGACCCTAGGCAAGTCACATAACCCTGTTTGCCTCTGTTTCCTCATCTGTAAAATGAGCTGAAGAAGGAAATGGCAAACCACTCCAGTGTCTTTGCCAAGAAAACCCCCAGATGGGGTCATGAAGAGTTGGACACAACTGAAAACAACTAAACAACAGCTCTCAGGGGCTGGAAGTATAATAGGGAAGACAACATGCGAACAGCTATGTACAAACAAGATACAGGATAAATTGGAGATTATTTCGGGGGGGAGGGTATTAATGAGATTGGCAAAGCCATCTTGAAGAAGTGGGATTTTAGAATCTTGAAAGAAGTCCTCCCTCCCAAGTATACCCCTTTGCCCAGTTAGTCAGGGTTCCCCAACCTTCCCAGTATTGGGGACACCAGAATGTGGTTCACTAACCAAGATACTTATCTCAACAGAAATGGTTGCATGTGATTCCTTTGAAAGGCACAAAAGCTGGGGAACTGATATGTAATGTGAAAGGGAATGCATTTTAACTCCTCCATGCAGAATATCTCTGCTCCCTCTGTGTATTCAATAGTTTGAATCCCTGCCTTACTTACAAAAGATCGTAAGTTTGATTCCTGGTGCGGCATCTGGGTGGCAACAAAATGATCGGGTCAAAGGCTGTAACCCTGGGAGACCCACAAATGGACTGGAATTTTTTCTCTTCCATTATACAACTTGCACATCATAAAAAAAAATCTAGTTTCCTTCATAGAAACTCGGTCCCAACCACATCACTAGAATGTGTCTGTTCCTAGCAACCGGGTCTGGGCACCCTGTTCCAGTAACACCCCATGTGTACCTGCCCTCCTTTTGACAACTACACATGAATATACCAGTTAAGGTATTTTATGAATCTGTGGCAGTGTTATCACTGGTTTCACCATGTTTTCTACTATTGTATTGGACTGTAATTTATTGACTGTGGCTTTAAGATTGTCAAGTGTTTTCGATTGCATGTTTTTAAGTTGAATAAGAGAAAAATGAAGGCCAGAGTAATTTTAATTTATAAGAAAGCAATAGGAAGTATAGAGGGAGGCCTTTCCTGATTTTACACACACACACACACACACACACACACACACACACACACACACACACACGAGTGCTTTCCTTCTGAGATTACTTCCCATTTACATTGTATACCTTTTGTGTGTATATATATTGTATGTATCTACCTAGTTGTTTGCATGTTGTCTTCTTTAACTATAATATGAGCTCCTTTAGGCCAGGGACTGTGTGTTTGCCCGTCTTTGTTCCCTTAATGCTTAGCACAGTGCCAGGCGTGTATTAAGTGCTTAATAAATGATAACTGACTGATTGACTGACTGATAAGCTCAAAAGCTCTGGATTTGGTGTCCAGGAGAGACTTGGGTGCAAATCCTGCCTCTGACAGCTATGTGAACATAAGACAATTCATTTAACCTTTTGTCCTCAGTGTTTACATCTGTAAAGAGGGGGACTAATGTAGCACTTATTTCGTAGGTTTTCATGAAAATTAAAGGAGACGTATGTGTGGAAAGCATTTTGCAAAAACTTGAAGCACAGGACCTGACACATAGTCAGCACGTTGTAAATGTTTATCGATTGATTATAGAAATGTTATCTATAATAATAATGGACAGCTAAGTGGTACTGTGCATAGCATGCTGGGCCTGGAGTCAGGAAGACTTAACTTCCTGAGTTCAAATCTGGTCTCAGACACTTAACTAGCTCTGTGACCCTGGGCAAGTCACTTAACCCTGTTTGCCTCAGTTTCCTCATCTGTAAAATGAGCTGGAGAGAGAAATGTCAATATATCTTTGCCAAGAAAATTCCAGATGGCATCAGGATAAGTTGGACACCACTAAACAATAAAAATGAAGATGATGATGATGGTTAATAAATATAGTAGATAAATCAGAATCCCATTCATTTGAGAAGACATAATTAGTAGCTATTTTTTAATACTAATGTTTTGTTTATTTCCTCTTAATTTTTGGAAACTGTTAGCACACAGCCAGTAATAAACACTACAAGCAATAAGCTAATATATATGTGTGTGTGTGTATATATATATATATATACACACACACACATATATATGTATAATTAATAAAACACTTTTTTCACTGAATATTTTCAAAAGAATGAAAAGAGTTGGTCAAGGACTGAAGAAGAGGCAGCCATTGTACCTGTTAACTTCCAGCCACGACAACACTTTAATCTCTCTCACTTTTGTTTCTTTATGAAATTTAAAGAGGTGTTGGTGAGGAAGGTTATACTAGTTGATTTCTGAGGTCTGGTCCAGCCCTAAGCCTCTATGATGCTATAAACCATTGAAATCTAATCTCCATGTTTGGAATAACTTAGTTAAAAAAAAAAAACAAAGGCAGCTACATAGGAAGTGGATAGTGCACTGGTCCTGAAGTCAAGAGGACCCGAGTTAAAATCCGGCCTCAGATGCTTGACACTTACTAGCTGTGTGACCCTGGGCAAGTCACTTAACCCCATTGTCTAGCCAAAAACAAATAACACAATGCCTAAGTAGTCACAAAAGCTAGTTTGTTATTCCTAAGTCAACAAGTATTCTTTATTGTTGTTTAGTTATTTTTTAGTTGTGTCCAACTCTTCAGGGTTTTCTTGGCAAAGATACTAGAGGAATTTGCCATTTCCCTCTCCAGCTCATTTTACAGATAAGGAAATGAGGCAAACAGGGTGAAGTGACCTGCCCAGGGTCACACAGCTAGTAAGTATCTGAGGCCAGATCTGAACTCAGGAAGCTGAGTCTTCCTGACTCCAGGTCTGGCACTCTATTCACTGAGCCATGTAAGTATTCCTTAATATGTAAGGATTTTGTTATTCCTTTTTAGATAATAAGTCCAGGATCCTAGATAATATTTCCCATGAATTATGGTTGAAAACATCTCCATCACACTAGCATGGTGAGATATAGGGATGACATAATGTAGGCCTGTGCTGTGCTAGGTCATGATGATATCACTAAAGTTAACCTGTGAGCTTAATGTTGGCAAGATGCATTCTTTGTCTGTTGCCCTATAAAGCAAGTGGGCATTGGTCGGTGAGTGGGGAACCCATTTTGGGATTTGGGTAATGTGTAGAAGAATGCATGTACCTGCCTTGATTGGCCCCCATCAAGGCTTGGGGGGGGATCTGTGTGGTTGCTTCAACTGGCCCCCCATTGAGGCTTGAGGGAATGCTGTAGGAGTTAGCATTTCCATTATCAGCAAACTCTTTCGAGAAGGCTAGACTAGAATAAAGTAAGCTTATTTAACCCCTTTGAAGCTGTCTTCCTGTCTGACTGGATCAAAAGTGAACCTGTGCTAGAACACCTGCTGGTGTTAGGAGCCCTCCTGTGTTCTCCTGCCCGACGAATGGTGTTACCTGTGTGTTTACCTGTGAAACACCTACAATGTGGTCAGTACTGACTTCTAAGCTCTGCGTAATTTTAGACAAAATACTAAACCACTGTTTGTCGGTTTTCTTTCTTCTTATAAGATGGAAATATCAGCCCTCTTTTGATAACCCTACTTCAGCCACATAAGATTTCTTAACTTCAGCATGAATGTGAGAAAACTGGGAGATAATTAACCAAAAGCAATCGTGCTATCTATACTATAAATGACTAAGTGACATAAAATGGTCTTTTTTTTTTGTCTCCTGCATGGCTTTCAGAATTCAGGTGGAGGTGGCAACTAACAGAAAGCAGAGTTTTCTTCTATATGTAACAGGTTTTCTCCAGCAGTCACTGAGATAGATAAGCCTTTTCCCTTTCCTAGTTCCTGGTAATAAATAGCTTTACAGGCTTAGTTGGAATAGAAGTTTCCTTTTATAAACAGTGCCATCAAAATTGCCTCCATATTGATCATCTGCTAAATACTACACAATGAATTTCATGCCTTACTCTTTAAAAAAAAAAAAAAGAAAGAAAAGAAAAGAAAAGACCCAGACTCTAGGCCAGAACAGGCTGAGAGTTAAAATAATTCACCAGCCAAAATGCTAATAAGACATGGAGTCATAGCTACTACCAGGTAGGCTCTAGAGTGCTTGGGATCTCCTGGGTGGAAAGGGGCGGGGCAGGGATGGGAAGGAGGTTACTGCAGCATTGTGCCTATTGCCAGAGTTTTAGGGGACTTGGATCCTTTCCAAAATTTTGCTTTGAGCCTTGAAATTTACTTTAAACATATCCCATTGACAGGGTAGTAGCCTTTATGATGTTTCCTGAAGCAAGAATACTTCCCCCCCCAAATGGAAATGTTTATAAGCAGCATTATGATACAGTCGGGGAAAGTGCTGGATTTGGAGACAGGGGACCAGAGGTTAAATGCTCTTTCTGCCATTTACTTGGGGGAAAAAAATAGTTTCTCTGGGTCTCATTTTCTTCACCTTTAAAATAAGGGAGTTGTACTAGATGACCCTTGAGATCCCTTTCTGTTCTAAGCTTGTGATCCTATGGCAGTTCTCTTGGCTCTCCCAAATAGAAATTTTGAGCTGAACGAGCTTAACACATGCAGCAACTTATATACATATAAGTAAATACTGTTTAAGGAAAACAAAAGAATGAACATCACATGCATTTGAAGAGAACCACAAAATTGAAATGACATCCTGGAACTACCCAAGAATCATTATTATTCTGATTGAACTGGGATTAATTCAGTCACCAATTGGGACCATAGCAAGGGATGTTATTTATGGAGGGACCAAATTGCCCTACATTGCAGTGAGGAATATGAAATCCATCAAAGAAAGGAAAAAGTAATAATGAAAAAAATCTAGGTGGAGAGTGACAGGAAGCTGATGTCAAATATAAAACAGTGAAATTGCATTTGACTCGTTGCTGATTTCTGTCCTGTTTTTATGACAGTAATAATAATCCATTTCTGCATATAGACAACAGGATGATGATCAACATTATTAGAGTCAGCACGTGGGGTATCATGAAACAGTGATCAGGCAACTTTGTGTGTACAAAGGCATTTTGTTAGATGGTTTTGTCTCTGAATATAAATTTTGTCCTTTTGTTCTCACACATTAGCAGAATTCTGCTGAATTATAGGACTCCATGAAAAGGGAGATGAGAAATGCTGTCACGTAGACATCCTGACAAATGTGCCAGTTTCTGTTCTCCCCTAGAATGGGTGATGGGAGCTCAGGGGAGGGGGAGGAGGAGTTACGGTCATATTTGACTCTTTTCCTAACCTAATTCTGAAAAAAACATCTGGAAGGAATCAGGTGAAGGAGCTGCTGTTTTGTCAGATTCTTTCTGGCTCCTGCCGCTGTCATGCAAAACTTGGAGCTTCTCAGCAGAGGACAATGATTTCAAAACTACTGTGCCTTGTCCTTTCCATGAAGGTGACAGTAATGTTTTTGACAGGAAGCCCAGAGAAAAAGAGAAATAAATCAAGAGAAGCGGATAAACCCAACCCTACCTTTCAAGTATTCTTTTCCTTGTTTTGACTTGAGTTGTGACTCCAGCTAGTTGACAGCTACTGTAAATTGCAGAAACTAAGCAGTACTGGATCAGTTTTTTTTTCTTTAAAAAAAATTCCCAAATTAGAAAGGAAATTGGAGGGGTTCTAACTTGTTTTGAAGGATACATGACCTAATAATTATGAAATGTTCTTCACAGGACCATTATCTTGAATAATCCAAAGAAAAGAAATGCTCTGTCATTACGTATGCTGAAATCTCTCCAAAATGACATTCTCCACGAAGCTGAAAGCAAAGATCTAAGAGTCATTATCATTTCAGGTATTTTCTTAATAATAAGAGTTTGGTCTTGAGAGTATATTTACCTATCCCAGTGCTCTATTTGTTTCAGGAAAGATTTATCTCACTTCGGAAGTTAACCTGGCAATTCCTTCGTATTTAGGTGGCGAATTTTTAAGTGCTGATTTCTAGGTGTGCAAAATGGTAATGTGATTGGGACGTTGGCAAAATCTCTATCTGTGGTATAGATTACAGCATCATTAATAATGAGCATTGATCAATAAGAACATTTCTTTTCCTTCTTCTTACTGTTGGGTGGTGTGCATTGCCAGTTTCAGTAATAGTGATCTCCTACTCAAATTTCAGTAGTTGGTTTGTAATGTACCTTCAAAAACTTCATTCGTTTCTCTCATTGCCCCTGCAAAAAAAAAAATGCTTTTTTTGGATGACTTTTTGTATACCCTAAGTTTTGTTTTGTATCAACAGCCACTGATCTTTATTTGAAGAATGTTAAGTAACTAGGGGATTTTTTTGGCATGGTGTTGGTGGTGGAAAGAGAATTTGCCATTAAAACTAGGTTTTGTCATCCTAGTTTTGTCATTTTGAGCAATTCATCCCAAAACTGTGATACATCAGATGGCTTGCTGTCTTGGGAAAGGGGGTGTGGAGGAAGGGAGGGAGGAAAACATTTGGAACTCAAAATCTTATAAAAGTGAATGTTGCATATTATCTTTACGTGTAATTGGAAAAAATAAAATACTATTAAGTGGGGGGAAAAAACACCAAAAAAACTCTGATACAAATGTTTAAGCACTATATAAATGTGAGTTATGGTCACCTGCCAAGTGTTCATGATGCATAGGTCACCTGCCTCAACTGAAAAATGAATTAATGTACCTTCCAGCTTTAACATTCTATGCCTCTCACTTTAATATTAATAATAATAATTTATATAATGCTTTTATAAATATAAAGTACTTGTCTCATTCTATAGTCATAGAAAATCCTGTGAGTTAATAAAGCAGTGTTTTGTTGTTGTTGTTGTTGTTGTTTTCACCCTTATTTTACAGATGAAAAACCAGAGACCCAAAAAGGTTGGCTAACTTGCCCAAGGTTATGTAGCTAATAAGTGGAAGTCAGAACTTGAATCTAGATCTTCTGACTCTGAGCCCTATGCTCATTCTACTCTACCTCACTGGCCATCTTTGTTGCTGGCCAGTTGTCTGCTTGTCCAGGGTCCCCATTCGGCAGTCCTGTTAAAGGCACAGTAGTTTTCAGTGGAATTTCTTTTTAGCGACCTAATGCTTACAGATCCCTTTGTGCCTGGGAGTCTAATCGTGAAAGACTTGAGTTACAAATCCAGAACTTGGAGAATGAATTTTAGTTTTCCTTTTTTTAATTGCATATCTTCATCAGTTTCCCATTCTGATTTTGTTCACAATGTTACTTTTAGTTATCATTTTGTTTTTGTTCAGTTGTGTCTGACTCTTTGTGATCCCATGGACCATACTGTCTATGGAGTTTTCTTGGCAAAGGTACTAATCTGCCACTTCCTTTTGCAGTGGATTAAGGAAAACAGAAGTTAAGTGACTTGCCCAGGGTTACATAGCTACTAAGTGTCTGAGTCCAGATTTGAACTCAAGTCTTCCTGATTCCAGGGGCAATGCTCTATCACCTAACTGCCTCCTTCAGTTATCATAGCATAACATTAAATATACCTGTTCAAGCCAACAGATGCCAGAATAAATCAGGTCCCAGGGCTCTATGAATGTCTTTAGGTTAATGTCAAAGGGTAGAAATAGGACTGAATTTCCTAGGGCTGGCTTTTATGTTTCCCTGTCTCTCTTTTTTTTTTTCTCCAGCTGAAGGGCCTGTATTTTCCTCTGGCCATGATTTAAAGGAATTAACTGATGAGCAAAGCCAGGATTACCATGCGGAAGTATTTCAGACATGTGCTGAGGTGAGGTAACCAGCGTTGCAAACTTGGAAATAATCATGGCAGTTTATCTTCTAGCTTAATTGTATACATCCAGATCTCACCTTTCTCCCTGGTGGCTCATGGCATTTTACAAACACGTTGATACTCATCCTGACATCTGCGTGAGTACAGGGTCAGTAGAGCTCTCCCCATTCTATAAAATAGAGAACTAATGGCACTTAGTCACGGATCATCTTTCCTGGAGTCTCCCAGTAAGTTTGTGATAGAATGAGGAGCAGAATTAGATTTTCTGTATTCAGGCTGGTACCAAAGAAACGGCACTGAACTGGATCCCCTCTCCTCCAACTACTAGTGCCTCTCCCCTAACTTGTATTGTATTAACTTGGTATGTATTTTCTTTAAACTTATGCATGTACATATTGTCTCTCTGACAGAATGTAATCTACTTAAAGTCAGGGACATTTTCCTTTTTGTTTTTGTTTCTCCAGAGCCTAGCATAGTGCTTGCACTTAGTAAGCATTTATGAAATTCTTGTCCAGTGATTGATTAGTCGACTGAAGTCCGGAGGTATGGGTTCTAATCTTGATTCTGCCACTGATTTTCTGTGTTACCATAAACAACTCATAGACAACTCAACTGATCTGGATCTTGGTCCTTTTATCTGTATAATTCAGGGCTTAGATTTAATGATTCTGTACTTCCTCCCAGCTCTGAAAGCAAATGAGTGTAACTCTTTGCTTCTGGGAGCCATAGAGGATAACAAGGTTTGTTTTAACCAAGATATACTTTTTTTTCCAGACCAGGACTGCTAATGATGGAGAAGAGAGTATTTCTTTTTTTTTTCTTCAAGAAACTGAGGGGACAAGTGGTTTTCTTGGAGTTACATGACAAGATGGAAGCAAAGCCAGATAGAGTACTCAGCTCTTTGTAGATACTCTGCCTTTTTGTCTAGCTTTGAGGCTTTCTCAGTGTGCATGACTAATGTGGAAAACCATTGAAGGCTTTAGTAGGAAAGGAGGGGCAGGTCCTTGTTGTTGCCTTGACCTCCAAGAACTTATGTCTCTGGGACTTCTTCCTATCCTATTTAAAGTACAGTCCCCACTCGAGGGCAAGAATTAAGACTCAGAACTCCCTATGGCCTAAACTTGAAGTAATGGGGCCAATCATTGAAGCTGTGCCCAGTGGTCTCAAACTTAAATGGAAACAGATCCCTGCAGCTGAATATAGAGCTAGAAAATGACAAATTAACATTACCTATGTTGTATTATATTTTGTTAAACTTTTCTTGATTACATTTTTTTTTCTGGCAAGGCTGTGGTGTTATGTGACTTGCCCAGGGTCACATAGCTAGTAAATGTCAAGTGTCTGAGGTCACATTTGAACTCAGATCCTCCTGACTCCAGGGTTGGTACTCTATCTACTGTGCCACCTAGCTGTACCACCCAATTATATTTTAATGAGTTTGACACTTCTGCCTTGGACAGTCACCTTCTCCCCACTTGTCTCCCCCAACCTGTTTTCCCCCATCTGCTGGGGACTAGAAGTACCTGGTATTTATTCTGAGTTTGTTTGTTTACCAGATTTATATTCTATAAGCTGTTTATTTGTATTCTGTAAGCTGTTTATAATGGGGGAGTTGCTTAAAAAAATACATAACCCCCCCAAACCAACACTAAGAGAATGTTGTCTTTTATTATAAGATAGTGTTCTCTTCCCAAAGAGGAATCATGGTATATAGCGCAGGGGTTCTTACCAGTTTTTTGTCATGGATCTCTTTGACAGTCAATGAAACCTATGAACCACTTTTCAGAATAATGTTGAAATACAGTTATCAAAAAATTTTTTTAAGTTCACAGGCCTCAGGTTAAGAACTCCTGGCAGTAGATAAAGTTAAAATCAGGGTTCAAAATCTCACCTTGGGCACTAACTCTGTGACTGCTGGTCAAGTCACTTAACTCTCTCAGTCTCAGTTTTCCATTCTGCAAAATGAGGGGACTGAACTTAATGACCACTTAGCCATTGGCTCTAAATATGTGACCCCATGATGTACATGAGCTAAGATCTAAAACAGGCCTCCCAGAGAAGGGGAATAAAATCATTCACTCTCCTTCAGAGGGTTAAAGCCCACATCTCAATACACATCTTCTGACCCCTGGGTAGGCAGGTTACAGATAACTTGACAGCTTAGCAGAGAGTGCTTGCCTCACAGAAAAGATGCTGTTCATAAAGACACACCTGGACCCATTACAATAGAATGGGAGAAGGAACATATTGATTTCTTTAATACCATTTCTGAGGAAATCAAATTGTCTTGGATGAATATGTGCACCATGAACTTGTGCAAGATTTCAATTTCCAAATGTAATCAACAGGCAGATTGGAACAGAATGAGTTAGATATTTCATTGTTCAGTTCATGTGTGAGAAAATTTGATTTTTGAGAGGAAGACATAGGAGGTGTCTGAATTTGCTCAGCCTCTAACAAATATAGCAACTTTGGGACAAACAAAAATGTTGCATGAGAGTTAAGATAATTATTTACAGCACAGGGTAGGAAGAGGAACTTGAGTTAATTCAAGAATAGTTAAGTGTGGTCATTTGAAAAGCAGAGATAATGATCGATGGGGCTGTTATACACTTTGGCCCTGTATCAAAGAGGCCTGTTCTGTATTTCTGTGTTTTCTTTCTTTTTCACGTTTAAGGACTGAAATGGAGGTCCAAGTAAGAGCCTGTCCCTTTCCTTTCACAAATAAGATAAGGTGTGATTATGCCTGCCAGCCTCTAGGCTTAAGCTCTTTCTCAAATACAGCTTCTGCTTTGCTGGCACTGGGATAAAAACCTGTGTTGAAGATGGAAATAACCAAAAAAGCAGTTGACTTAAGAAGGATTATCAAGGGTATTAACCAGGCCTCTTATTTCTTCTCCCTCTGGCTGCCCAGTTTTGATTGCTTCTCCTTTCCTTTGTTTCCCTAAAGATGAGAGAGATCAGATGTGATGCTGAACAGACAGTTGCCCTAGTAGTGACTTGCTTTCTTTTGCTTTCGAAAGGACTGAAGCTCAGTATTAGGATAAATTTCTTTTATGATATATTAATTTCAATTGTTCATTTTACCACATCCAGTATTCTAGCAGCAATACTCTTGGGTCCTTCCTATCCCAGCTCTGTGACTCTATCAATAGATATCATTGTGACATTACAGCCTCATGAGTCTAGTGGGAAGAAATTAAATTAGATTATTAGAAAATGAGATACTCATTTTTAATAAATTCTAACAAATGTAGGATTTTCCATGAATAAGAAAATTGACCTTAAAAAATAAATTATTTGAGGCAATCTCTTGAAATTAGATGAAGACTGCTTTTGTGGTACAGGAAAGGCATGTTGGTTTTTCAGTCAAAACACCAGGGCTCAAACCCCACCTCTGCTAAATATCCCCTATCTGACCTTTAGGAAGATGCCTAATCTCATTGGGCCTTGATTTCCTTATCTGAAAAATGAAGAGTTTAGGCTAAATTGGTTGCCTGTGGAGTTCCTTCAGTCTCTAAATATAGGTGCCTATAATCTTTTGGATTGTCCTTTCACGGGAAAGAAGTCCAAATTTTGTTCCAAGTATTTAAATCTTAAAGTCTATAAAATAACAAATTATCCTGCAGTTTGTTAATAAATAATCCTATAATAAGAGTAACACTATCTATGATGTTGCAGAAAAATTTAAACTCTTCTTGCTCCCTGGAAACAAAACCTATTCAAAAGGAGCCAGTTAGTTAACATGGAGAGGAAACAGAGTGGCATTACATATTGATACAATAATAATAATGATGATAATAACTAACATTTATATAATGATTCTCTCCTCACAGTAACTTTGAGAAGTTCCATTATCCTCATTTTACAGGTGGAGGAACTGAGGCACAGCAGGGTGGCCCAGGGTTATACAGCAGCTAGTATGTGAGGCAAGATTTTAACTTAGGTCTTCCTGACTGCAAGTTCAGCAGTCTATCCACTACACCACATTGCTGCCATGTATATACGCATATGAGGAAATTACTCATATGAGGAAATCCAGAAACCAGAGCAGGGAAAGCATGGTGGAAAGCACTGGATAAAATTCAATTGAGGGACAAACAGACGTGATTTTGTCATCAGAGTATCCTACAAAGCACCTGGCTGAAAGAGGAAATAGACAAGGCATGCAGGAAACAGAGCACAAACCTGGTGCTGGGAAATGAGAGTAATTAATGATAGGAGACTTTCATTGCCTAAGCCTTTGATAGATCTCTCTCTGCCAAAAGTATATAATGCTAGTATAATATACTAATAGTTTCTTAACTCACCTTAATAATACTGTATTTACATTCAAAAAGTAGAAGAACCAATAAAGGGAAATTTTACTCTAAATATGATTCTCACACAAAAGGAGGAACTGGTTGCTGGGTGGTAGTGATGAGAATCTTAGTGGGAAGTCACTGTTCCATTTTAGAATCTGTTTTTTAAAAAGAAGGAGAACCCTACCCCTTCATAGAGCTAAGAAGTCTACAAATGTCCTTTGAACATATTTTCAGGCTTTTTCTTTCAGTTATGCTGCATTTTTTCTTTTTCTTTTTTTGACTATTTGTTTTATGGGGTAGCTCTGGGCAAGAAGGGATACTGGAGAAAACTGGTGATGTAGAAAAAGAACACACATCAATAAAAACTTATTTTTAAAAAAAGGGAAGGAGAAAAGTAAGGCAGAGTGTAACATGCACACTAGACTTGAGAAGCAGACTTTAGAGGATTCAGAGAAAGAAAAGGTAGGATCCTGTGAACTAAAACTCTAGAGAGGAAATCTACTTAATAGAGGTGAGAAGTTCTCAAGAATGGTATCCTGAAGACACAAAGAAAACCAGTTTTGAGAAGCAGGATAAGTGGGATAGAGAAAGAAAGCACCAAGCCTACCTTTGGGGAATTCAACTCCCTAGGCCCAGAAGAATTAAATGCCAAAATATTTAAACAACTAGCCGATATAATTGCCAGGTCCATGTCAGGGATCTCTGAAAGATCCTGCAGAATGAGAGGAGCTACCAGACTGGAGAAGGGCAAATATCTCAATTGTTTTTTTTTATTTTGGGGTTTTGGGTTTTTTTTTAGGCAATTGGGGTTGAGTGACTTGCCCAGGGTCACATAGCTAGTAAGTATCAAGTGTCTGGTCTGAAGCCGGATTTGAACTCAGGTCCTCCTGACTCCAGGGCCAGTGCTCTATCCACTGTGCCACCTAGCTGCCCCTCAGTTGTTTTTTTTTTAAAAGAAAGAAGTGGCACATGATAAGATAGTTATACTTCAATTCCTGCCAAAATTCTCAACCACATAATTCAAGGTATGATGAATAAACACCTAGAAAAGGAAAGAGCGGATTCAAAGAGCTAAAAAGCATTATCAGTTCTGGCTCATGCCAAACTGACCTCATTTCCTTTTTTGACAGGGTTAATAAACTACATCGGGTAACTGCTGTAGGTCTAGTTTACTGAAATCTTGGTGAAAGACTTGACAAAGTCTCATACCATTTTAGTGGACGAGATGGGGATATTTGGGCTGGACAGTAGTGTAGTTAGGTAGATTCAGAACTGGTTGATTAGCTGGACCTCATGGTTTGTGTCAACTTGAGAGGGGTCTCTAGTGAAGGGTCTTAGGAATCTTTGCTTTTAAACATTTTTATTAATTACTTAATAAATGGGCAGCTAGGTAGTGCAGCGGATAGAGTGCCTTGCTTAGAATCAGGAATTCAAATCTGACCTTAGACATTTACTAGCTGTGTGACCCTGGGCAAGTCACTTAACCTTGCTTGCCCCAGTTTCCTCATCTGTACGAGGAGCTAGAGAAGGGAATAGCAAACCACTCCAGTAGCTTTGCCAAGAAAACCCCCAAATGGAGTCACAGAGAGTCATAGATGACTGAAAAATGACTTAACACACATTAATTACATGGATGAAGATATAAATGGCATAGTTACAAAATTTGAAGATTCCACAAAACTAGGTAACACATTAGATGACCAAGTCAGGACAGAGTCAAAACAATCTCAACAGGCTACTTATACGTGAATTGAAATAATTGACTTCACAAGTATAAGATGGGCAGACATGGCTGGATAAGTTTGTCTGGGAAAAAAAAATCTAGGTACTTTAGTGGGCTGCAAGATCCCAATGTGAAACAACGATCAGACATGACAGCCATAAAAAGCTAATGCTATCTTGGGCTTCAGCAAGAGAAACATAACTAGGGAACTATCACCAGGGATACTGGGACTAATTCTTACTAGTTCACGAGAGCCAGTTGTTAACTTGTCATATGAGCATTTATAACCGATAACTGCTACAAGTCAGGCCTTAATTTATTGTTTTGTTGTTGAGACTTTATTTATGACTTCCCTTGTGGAATTATAGTCCCTAGTATCTTACCTCACCTTTCTCTGAACTCGTATTTATTGTTTGATTGTCTAGACTTAAGAAAGTAATAGAGAAAATGTTAATAAAGCAGACTAAACATAAAAGTCTTCTATGAGAATACACACACACACACACACATATACACACACACATACACACACACACAGAGTGAGTCAGTTGTTAAACATTTAGGAGCCCACCACTCTGATAGTCTCACTATATATTCTGTCCTGGGCAGACAACCCCTAGAATACTGTGTTTGGTAAAAAGTGCTACATATTAGGATGGATTAGGATGAAATTGGAGACCAGACCGGGATACTTAAGAACCTGAAGGTTAGACTACAAGAGGATTGCTTGAAGAAACTGGGGATATTTATCCTGAAGAAAGAAAATGTAAAGGGGACCAATAGCGGTCTTCAAGTATTTAAAGGCAGACCTGTCATGTGGAAGAGTGATTAGCATTAAGATCTGTAAGTGAATGTTGCAGGGATGCATATTTCATTTAAGGTAAAGAAAAAAATTCCATAACAATTAGAGCTATCTAAAAGTTTAATAGGCTGCCTTTAATGGGTTCTCTTTCACTGGAGATCTCCAAGCAAAGAGAGATGATCTATACTTGTTGGGTAAGTTGTAAAGAGGTTTCTTATTCAGGTACAGATGACTCAGAATCCAGATCCTCTAAGTTGGAAGAGACCTCAGAGGCCATCTATTCCAACCCATGCCTAATCTCCATTACAGCACACCCTATGAGTGGTAATCTTTTTTTTTAAGTTAATTTATTTTGATTTATCAGTAATCACTTCCATAAGCTTTTGAGTTTAAAATTTTTCTCCCCCTTCCTCCCCCCCACCCTCCCCAAAACAGTGCACAATCTCATATAGGCTATACATTTACATTCCTATTAAACATATTTTCACATTAGTGATATTGTAAGTAAGAATTAGAACCAATAGGAGGAACCACCAGAATGAGGAAACAAAACACAACAGAAGAAAAAAAAATAGCAAATAGTATGCTTTGATCTGCATTCAAATTCCATAGTTCTTTCTTTGGATGTGGATAGCATTTTCCACTACTAGGCCTTTAGAGATGTCTTAGATCCTTGTATTTTTGAGAAAGGTTAAGTCTATCAATATTAGTCATTGCACAGCATGGCTGTTCTCCTGGTTCTGCTCATTTCATGAGTGGTAATCTTTAATTTTATCTTCTAGAATTTTCCAGGAATCTAACTAAGGCAACCTCACTGGCCTAGAATTTGCAGCTTCCATTACCTTCCTTTTTTTTGAAAATCAGGACACTTGCTCTTAGTGCTACGGTACCTTTTCCATTCTCCATGGCCCAGCAATCATATCTGCTAATTCTTTCAGTAACTGAAGAGGTAGTTCATCTGGGCCAAGTGGCTTGAATCTATCAAGGGCAGCTAAGTAATCTTTTACTATCTCATTATTATCTTAGGTATCAACTTCTTATTAGCCATTTTGGTTCTGTCCCTTCCAGTCTAAAGGCCATTCTCCTTGACAGGTTAAATGGAAGCAAACTTAAAATGAAGCCCTTCTCTCCGTTGTTAATTGTCATCCTGTCCATCCTGAACTGCGCCCCTGTCCTTCTTTGATTTCCCTCTTTTGCTTAATAAAAACTCAATTTTGTCATCGTTGGCTTTCCTTGACAGCTGCTCATTTTGAGCTTTCTCCCTCTTGATGTAATTCTTTAAGTACCATACCATACTTCTGAATTCATCCTGTTAACTATCCTCATTTGCATATTCTATCCATATCTTTTTTAAAAATCCAAGTTGGTTGGTGAATTCTCTGTCACTTTCAGGCAACTCCTATTTTTCCTTTTCATCAGAATTGTTTCCCTGTATGTCTTCATAATTTCCCTCTTGAGAGTTTCCCTTCCTGCACTGACTTCCCCTGTAGAGTTCTAGTCCGTAGTACCCTACCTCTCCTTCCTCTGAACTCTTAGAAATCTGCTCTCTTAAAATCTGTGGTATATGTGAGGCTAATGGCTTTATTTCCTCTCCTTCTGAACTGTACACTCTAGGATGGAGTGGTCACTTCCTAAACAGACAGTTTCGTTTCCTGCTGGTAAGAGTCATATCCAGAATGAACTTCTCCCTTTTCGGTTTTTCAACTTTCAAGGGATATATTTATCAATAAGGTAATGCAAGAAATGTAAGTGAGATTCTGGGCTTATGCTTCTGCCTTTAGCAGGTCATATATTCTAGCTATATATTCCTTTTGGGGTCCTAGGGACATCTCTGAGGAGGAATGGGCTCCTTTCCAATGTTCTCATCTCATGCACCCTTTCTAGTGTGTTGTCCCCGATGTCAATCACCAGCAATTACTGCCCCAGTATCGTTTGTCAGTGCCAGTTAACATCTCTTCAATGTCATCAAACAAGCCCCAGTATCATTTTGAGCAGTGTACCATCAATTAGCTTTTTTGAAAGGATATTTACTGAAAAGATATAACAGGAACAGAAGTATAAACTCATCCTCCCAGAATCAGAAGGCATGTTCTTTCCTCTATCAACTCAGTCTGCAGGGAGAATGAGCACAGAGTTAAAAGTATTCACCCCACCAATTTCACTTCCAAATTCAACATAGGATCTCAGGCTACCAAGTTGATCGACTCCTGGGTTGGGTTAGGTCAGTAGGTAGGTCAAGGAGGTGACTTCCAGGATTATGTTGGTTTACTGAGTTTCTAAGAGTTGTTAATATCAGCTAATTTCTGAATGAAAGTGAAATTGATTCCTTTGCTCCTTCAGGTCATGATGCTAATCCAGAAACATCCTGTCCCCATCATTGCCAAAGTGAATGGTTTAGCCACTGCTGCAGGTTGTCAGCTGGTTGCAAGTTGTGACATTGCCCTGGCAAGTGAAAAATCTCATTTTGCAACTCCTGGTGTGAACATTGGACTTTTTTGCTCCACTCCAGCAGTTGCCCTGGGAAGATCAGTTCCTAAAAAGGTAAATCAGTCTCTTTGAGTTTTTTCCACCTTTAGTGACCTTGGTAGATTACTTCAGGATTCACTTGACCATAGCCTCAGAAAATTGCTGATATTTGAGTGATTTTGCCCACGGCATGGCAGGATTGGACATTATGTGGGAACATGGACTTTTTTGGAAAGTAACCAAGAAGTAGAGAATGTCCAGCTGCTTCCTCCTTGACATCCTCTTGTGCTGCTATGTAACAGGGTAAATTTGTGAAAAGTCACATGTATGCCAGTAAATTTGAAGATTTTTTTCCTATTGAGGGGAGGAACTTTTATTTGAAATAACAGGTCTTACTTTCATAGAACTTAATATCTACCTATCAAATATAGTAGAACCCCAGCACAGTGCTGGTGTTTGGGGACAGGATTAGTACTCACGTTTGATTAGACTCATTATCGTGTGTAGTTTTATCTCTGGGAACTTGATTTGACTCATGGTAGGACAACTCTATAAAACAAGAAGCCATGTCATAAAAGGGTTCCATCACAACAGGAATGATAACGAACTTCATCTTTGATTGCCTTTCTCCCTCAAACCATGAATGCCTCCCAAAACTTTCTTAAGAGAAAGTTCTTCCATTTCCTCTGTTTGAGCTTTGTGGTTTTATCATCATTAAGTTGTATTTATTGAGCATCCTTTCATAAGTTTCCGAAGCAGATGATAACCACCCTCCGGGGAGCGCTGGAATGATCTGGGGGGCAGTAGTAGCCTTGGGTGCAATTGGGGGGCATTGAATAAAAATAAGGAGGTAATGGAAGCATAAGGAGAGAAAATTAGAAAATTTTGAAAACCCATTCATACATGTTTCATTAGTTCTGTTATAAAGTTGTAGTGATTACGTTATTTTCCAAATAAACACAAAAAATGCAAGTTATAACCCATCAGTGGCCAAGTCTGCCAACAGGTCTTAACAACCAAGTATTGGCAGGTGAGCATGCCATGCCATTGTTGGGAAGTCCAGCATGCATTGGCAGGAATATATGGATGTAATGACTTGTGTACAATACAGTACTATATGGTTGCATAATGCAACATTGCGTCATCAAAATTTCAGTGCAGGTAAAAAAACCCACAAATTTACAATAAATTATTAAATTTAAGATGCATCATTTCAAAACAAATTTTTATGATACAAATTGAAAAAAAACAGTTAAAAGGTTAAAGAAAGATTTCCAGGAGAGTATTGAGTAATTTTTTTTTAAAGGGGGCGGTTGGCCAAGTAAGTTTGGAAACCTCTGGTTTAGATGCATGGTCCTGTACCAAGATATTATATCACTATATTAAGGAATTTTCCTACTGGCTCTTCACTGTATGCTCAAAGCCTATAAACTGCAGAAGTCCTTAACCTAAGCTCTTTGAACTTGTTCTGGGGGCCGAGGGAAAAGAGAAGTATAGGTGTGGGTGTGTAGATAGACAGATGATAGAGAGACAGATGGACAGATACTATATTTAAATACAATTAGTTTCCTTTGCAATGCTGTGTATTTTATTTTATTCATTTAAAAACATTGTTTTGAGAAGGGGTCCACAGGCCCCACCAGAATGACCATGACACACAAAAAGGCTAAGAACCCCTGCTGTTAAGTAAGAGAAGGTGTCGCATCTAATAACTTTGAGGGAAAATCGACTACCTAGAATATATTAAAAAGTTCCACATGTGCCTGGGGCACAGAAAAAATGAGACCCAAGGGAAATCAAGCCAGCCAGACCGAGTAACTTTGTAAGGCCTTTCTTTTACATTGTCTCTTCTTGAGCTTCATTAGGAGTGTAAGTTTGTGGGAGAACCTGGATATAAGCACACATACTTGTGGAGATGTGGCTGCAAGTGGACAATGACAGTACTGCTGTTGTGCCAGAAATGATGATGTAATGGTGATCCATTATAAAGATTCGTAGAATTTGAGAGTTGGAATGAATAGAGCTAGTGAGAATTCAGCAGTTTGATAAAAACAGGTTCAAACTTTCTAAAAAAATCTTTAGAATGGAAGTTCCTTGAGATCAGGGACTATTTTAACTTTGTCTTAGTATCTCCTTTGGGCCTTATACTTAATTGGTACTTAATGAATGTGTACCGAATGAATTCTATCTGCAAGAATAAATTAGATGTATTGCACTTTGTACATTTACGTTGACATAAAGCATACATTAAAATGCATTAGAAGTTGATCATAAAATAGTGCTCATTATTTAGAGTAGGGGATCAAATCATGACTCCTACATACAATAAAAGGCAGATATAATACAATCCATTTAGGAGAAGGGTGTTAGCCCTTTGTCCCTGGCATTTGAAAGCAGTACCAAGGTCATTCACTTTAAATCCTTAATAAAACACCACCCACAATTTTTATAATTTTGTTCCATTCTTTCCCTATGCTAAAATTTGAAATCAAAACATCTTTTAGTTAAAGATCTGTTAGACACTTGAACACTGCTTTATCTTTGTTAACTTATAAATTGTTTCTTGAAAAGGAAAAAAAAACAAATAAGGAGAAAAAAACCTCAATGTGAAAAAATAGAATAGGCTTCTCATTCCAAAGAAGCCAGCAGATCTGAAGCTTTAAGCAACAATAACAAACCCACCCACATCCACTCTGTGTTATTGTGAAATGAGACCGTGGGATGAAAGGGATACTATAGAAACCACAGTGGCTTACCTTCAAAGTAGTGACCTTATCCAGCTGTTGTTGCTTAAAACAGAATTTGGGACATGGGTAATGTTTGTATTGCCTTTCTCAAATTTCTATCTGTATCAGTACTGGTTGGACTCCCTCTAGGCACCCATGCTATTTGGGTTATTAGCTACAGTATTTTTTATGTTTTTTAATTTAGGGAACCAGTCTTTTCTAATCAACAGTCTAGACCAGTGGTGTCAAATGCAAAATAGGAACAGGTCCTTGGGGGCTTCATATTGACTTGGAAAACCACAAATTAGCATTATCTATGTTTTATTGTATTTTTTTATGTTAAATATTTCCCAATTACATTTTAATCTGGTTCAGGCCATACTCAGAAGTGTTGTAGACCATATCCAGCCTGAGCTGTGAGTTTGACACCTCTGATCTAGACAGTTTAAAGGGAAGGTAAAGTGACTTCATTGAACATTTTATTTAATTCTGTATTGCTTTCTCATCCACCAGGAATAGGAAGCTTAACTCACAATGATGGGTTAATACTAAAGAGCCAAAGTGAAGGTACTGATTAAAGGAAACACAGTAAAAGCCTTCCTCCACCCCCTCTTAATCCTACTGCCTTGCCTCTGTTATTTCCTGTTTATCCTGGATATAATTTGCTTGGTATGTATTTGTTGCATGTTGTCTCCTCCATTAGATTGTGAGCTTCTTGAGGACAGGGACTGTCTTTTGCCTCTTAGCACAGCGCTTAGCACATAGTAGGCACTTAATAAATGTTTATTGATCAATTGATTGAAACATAAAGAATGTTAGAATATAAGGTCTTTCCCCTTAACTCTGAATTGTCTGTCAACTGGACCCATTTCCCATTTCCCAGTAATAATTGGGTCCATTTATTCAGAAAAGTAGATCCACAAACAAATTAAGACCTGATCAGAAAACATCTCTCAGTGTTCATAGCTTGGTGGAACAGACATTCTTCAGGGCATACTTAACTACATCTAAACTTCACTAGAAAGTAAGCTGCTGCCACCTTCCTGCCGTTCAGCACAATATATGTAAGTCGCCAGTGCCCTCTACTGCCCAGAAAGGCAAACCCAATCAGCAACACAGCAGAGAGCAGGACCAGGATACAGTTTAAATGCCGGAAGCTTGGACAGATGACGTTCAAGTTCAAGTTCAGACTGACCCTTCCTGGTGATACTGGAAAGTGTTTTTCTTATTCATTATTTTGCTCAGTAATTCATCTTTATAGCCTTCCTGAGAAAGTGACTGTGACTGCTCTCAATTGCAACCCACACAAAAATAGGGGTGAGTCACTTGCAGTTAAAAAAGGCTTTTGTTCAAGGAATTAGAGAAAGCCCTTTGGGTCTCAGCTTCAGAACCAATCCCTGCTTGGACCTAAGTTGGCAGCAGAGAGAACTAATGGGAAAATTGCAGAATTTCCTTTCCCAAGCCATTCATTGACCAGGGATAAAAGTTATTTTCTTCCATCTGTCTAAACTTTTTGTCTGTAAGGCCTGTTTCTCCAATGTCGTCTAGTATTTTTTAAAAATAATAACCAACATCTATATAGTGCTTTAATCTTGCAATTTGATCTCATTATCTCATTCGATCCTCACATCTACCCTGTTATGTAGGTGCTATTTTTATCTCCATTTCACAGGTAAGGAAACTGAGGATAAGAGAATAAGTAACTTGCCCTAGGTCACATAGCCAATAAGTGTCTGAGGCCAGATTAGAATTTAGTTCTTCCTGATTCCAAGTCTGGCATTCTTATCACTACAGCACCCAGCTGCCACTATCGTCTAATTAAGAAAAAAAAAAACCTTAAACCTTCAAAGTTGGCAGAATCAAATTTTTTAGGTCCAGTCCTTTGATTTCATTTTAGTCATTTTCCAGTAGTGTGCCTATTCTTCATGACCTCATTTGGAGTTTTCTTGGCAAAGATCCTGGAGTAGTTTGCCATTTTCTTCTCCAGCTCATTTTACACATGAGGAAACTAAGGTTAAGTGACCTGCCCAGGGTCACACAGCTGGTAAGTGTCTGAGGAAGATGTCTTCCTCATAATAATTGTTGGAGGGGATATGGATAGTTGAGACACCAATGCAATGTTGGTGGAGTTGTGAACTGATTCAACCATTATATAGAGCAACTTGGAACTACACCCAAATATTTATTGCAGTTCTTTTCTGGTAGCAAAGAATTAGAAATTGAGGAGATGCCCAACAGTTGAGGAATGGCTGAATAATTTGTGGCATATAATTGGGATGGAATACTGTTGTTGCTATAAGAAATGAAGAGCTAGATGCTCTCAGAAAAAACCTGTAAAGACATGCATGA